AACACCTGCTTAAAAGACATTGAGTGGCAAACTGGATAAAAACACAAGACCCAGCCATCAATGCCTTCAAGAGACCCATCTCACATGTAACAACATCCACAGGCTCAAAACAAAGAGAGGGGAAAATATCTATCATGCAAATGAAAAACAAAAAAGGACAAGAGTTGCTATTCTTATATTAGATAAAACAGATGTTAAACAATGAAGGCCATTACTATAATGATAAAGAGTACAATCCAACAAGAAGACCTAACAATCCTAAATATATATGCATCCAACACTGGAACACCCATATCTATAAAACAAGTTCTTCTTGGCCTATGAAAAGATTTAGACAACCAAACAATAACAGTGGCAAACTTCAAAACTCCACTGACAGTGTTAGACAGATCATTGAGAGTGTTAGACAGATCATTGTTAGACAGAAAACTAAACAAGAAATGCTGGATTTAAACTCAACACTTAACCAGTTGAAACTAATAGACAAATACAGAACACTCCACCCAAAAGGAATGCTTATACACTGTTGCTGGAAATGTAAATTAGTTCAGGCACTGAGGAAAGCAGTTTGGAGATTTTTCAAATAATTTAAAACAGAGCTACCTTTCCACCTAGTAATCCCATTATTGATTATATATCCAAAGGAAACTAAAACATTATACCAAAATGCACTCATATGTTCAAAACCATGCAATTCACAATAGCAAAGACATGGAATCAACCAAGGTGCCTATCAATGACAGATTGGTTGAAGAAAACATATACGCTATGGAATACTACACAGCCCTAAAAAAAAATGAAATCAGGTTGTTCACAGCAACATAAATAGAGCTAAAGGCCATAGTCCTAAGTAAATTAATGCAGGAACAGAAAACCAAATACTACATGTTCTCACTTACAAGTGAGAACTAAACATTGAGCACACATGAACATAAACATGGGAACGACTGACACTGGGCACTACTTGAGGGGAAGAGAGAGGGAAGTTGACATGGGTTGAAAAACTACCTATTCGGTACTATGTTCACTACCTGGGTGCAGTATACCCATGTAACAAACCTTCATATGTACCCCCTGTATCTAAAATAAAAGTGGGAATTTTAAAAAGACTAAATATGTTAAAACTAGTACTCTCTAAATTTTATCTACAGTCATTAAAATCTCAATTGTTATCTCAACTGTTTTTGTTTTCTAAGAAACTGAAAAGCTGGATAAGGTATATGAACACAAAGAATTTATGAGAAGTCCCACTCCTGGTTAGAAGTCTATGTACGATGTTTCAGGCCATAGGTAATCAATCACAAAGGCTTTACCTGGCAGGTTTACAGGGTGTGGAGAGGCTGTTCTGTCCACCCCAGACTTGGTGCACAGCCAATGCATTGCAGCCTTTGAAGGGAGTTGCAGTCAAGGACCCCCTGGGTGGTCACACCCTTGTGCATATTTATATTGCCAGTTCAGGATCCTTCATTCTTAGGTCTCTTTATCTGAGGTCTATGTAGAGGTCTTCTTCAGGTGCCTCTGTCAAGGCCTCCTAATAGGAGAGGAAGAGAAAACTTAAAGACACTTTTCTCCACTCTGAGTACCCAGTGAGTTTCCACTTTCTCCTTGCAGGGCCCCCCAACAGTGAGACAAACCCATGTCTGTACTAATCCAGCTAACCCTTGACCAGGTCATTTCCACAGAGAAAAATGGAACAGGGGGAGTCAGTACTTTCTCCGGCTTTAGACTCTTGCTTACACTATTGAAGGAGGTAATTAAAGACTTAACTCTTTCCTTTTGGGCTTGTTGCTTTAATTGGCTCACTACCTGGGTGCAATATACCCATGTAACAAACCTGCATATGTACCCCCTGTCTCTAAAATAAAATTTGAAATTTTAAAAATATGTTAAAATGGGTACCTAAGTCCTCAGCACTCTTTTTCAGCTCTGCTGAGCTCCTGACACTCTAGAATAATCAAAATGTTAATTAGAAAGAACACACTTGGAGTACTTTCACTATCTGACTTCAAGACTTACTATAAACCCACAATAATCAAAGGAATGTGGTACTGGCAAAAGGGCAGACAAATAGGAAATACACATTAAAACCACAATGAGATACCACTAACCATCCACATACCCACTCAAATTAAACCACCTGGCAACACCAAATGCTGGCAAAAATTTGGAGTCCCAGAACTCACATATATTGTTGGTGAAAGTGGATAATAGTACAACCAATTTGGAAAAGGTTCTAATAGTTTCTTATAAAACTAAACCCCTATGATCATCTATCCCTATGAGCCAGCAATTATGCTCCTAAGTATTTACTTAGGAGAAATAAACACATACATCTACAAAAAAAGACTTAAACCAGAATGTTTACAGAAAGTGAATTAATCATTGCCAAAACCTGGAGACATCTTGAATGTCCATCTCCAGGAGAGTGGCTAAACAAACGGTAGTATATCCATATGGTGACATATTCCACTGCCACAAAAAGGAATGAAGTACTAATACACATGACTTGGACAAATCTTAAAAACATTATTCTGAGTGAAAGAAACTTTGCATAAGAGAGTGTATGATGTTATTCCATTTATACAAAATTCTAGAAAATAATAATTTATAATAAAGAAATGAGAACACTGGTTGCCTCTAAGGGGTTAGCAGTGGGGAAAACTAAAGGCATGAGAAAACCTTGGAGATGATGGTAATATTCTATAATTTGGTAGGTTACACAGTGTATGCATTTGTCAAAACTTGTTTAACAGTATTCAAGATTTGTGCATGGTGCTGTACGCAAATTTTACCTTAAAAACACCTTGAACTCCAGTTAATTACATGTGTGCTCAACTGCTTAGAAGTGAAGTATGCCTTCAACTGACTTTTCAATGAATTACAAAATTAGATGGATTAATGGACGAATAGAAGGATGGATAGATGGATAGTTATGTGGTAAAGCAATAATGGTTTTATCCAGAACCTAGGCAGTGGGTACACGCATGTTCACGGTATAATACTTTCAGCTTCTATAGATGTTTGAAAATTCTCATAATAAAATGGAAAATAATGGCACGATTCTGTGTATTTTTAAATAAAATCAACTTTGAAATACGCTGATAAGAACCACATCGCTAATTAAAGAAGTGAAGTACAGGAAGGTTTGGACTGTGTGTTTCTGTGTAAAAGAAGAAAGAGTCAGATTTACATAAACTTGAACAAGCAAGAACTATTATTTCTAAGAACATGTACCAAAACACTTAAAAGACTGTCTCTGGAGAGGGGACTTACTTTTTGTTCTCTGTTATAATTGAATCATTAACTATGTACATGTATTAATTCAATAAATAAACACATTAAAATTAAATGAGAGTTTAGTATCCATAATATTCCCTGAGAGAAAAATGTAGAGACCACTGCAGTTTGAAAAGCATGAAAAGGGAGGGGAATATGTTTGCTGGTTTTTGTTTTTGTTTTTTTTTTTCCAAACAAAGAGAATACTGATGAAGAGGCAAAGATTTGGAATTTAGTGAAGAATAGGGATCATTTGTTAATTTTCAGAAGCTTTTAGGATAAATGAAAAACATGCTGGGTTATTTTGGTAGAGAGTTTGACACAATTGACTAAAAGATTTAAAAATATATCTACATGTCAATAAAAACTGAAGTATTCTATACCTTTTACTACTTCTACTTAGCAGAGTTTACCTCAAGCCACTGTCTGAGTCACGTCCAATAGATGTAAAGGCTTCACACACACTCCTCATATGAACAAGTTACTGAAATATTGTTAAAGTGTCACATTTTCTCTATTATAAGGTACATTGCTTTTCACAATTCTATTTTCTTTGAAATATGAGTAAGACCTATAATCAATCTTCACCTTTAATGTGGTAGTACTAAACACCACCCAAAGGTAACAATTAGGTATTTAATAGAACATCTTATAATAGAGAGAATCTCAGAATCAAATAAGATAGGTTAGTTTTTGCAAGGCTGTCTTTCTAGAGTTTCCTAGTATTCTGTAGAGTGTTAGGCCTATCATTTTCAGTTACCCACCAGACTGTACTTTACTAAGGCACAGGCAACTGCAAGAGTCAGACAATACTTGATAGCGTTGATAGTAACACTTGAGATTTGTGATCACATAGGCATTGATTTGAGTCCTGACTCTGTTACTTACTCTTGGATTATATGAACTTGGATAGGTTATTTAAGGTCTCTAGGTCTTACCTCTAAAATTTCCTAATCTGTAAAAATAGTGTGACAATAATAAATAGCCAAACCAAAAAATAGACTTAAATAAATGTATGAAAAGCAGAGTAAGTGCTCAAAAACTTAGATCTACTTTTATGCAAAAGTGAACTATTTTAAGCAATTACGTGATATGAGAAATCAGCTTGATAATGGAAAAAGATCATAGCATTGTGGCCAAGTTTTACACATGCATGATCTGTTTCATGGCCTAGACCGAGTTGAATTAGAATAGAAGAAACTATATTACAAGTATCCAGGAATTAAGCAAAGACAAAAAAATAGTTATGACTGTGACAACTGAAACAAGGGAAGAGATATAAGAGACAACGCATTTAATTTGTGAATTGGAAAATAAGGTAGGTGAAGAAAAAGAGAGGCTTATAGAATTCTTGAGCCTAACGTGCAAGAAGAACAGGGATGCCATTTGTTGGGAGAGGGGAACTGAGGAATAAGAGCCCGCTTATTGGTGTGTGTATGTGCTGGGGCAGGAATGAGTTCAGTTTGAGATAACCATGAAGACCCAGCAGACAGCTGAAATACTGTTATGAAGTTCCTTTGTATTCTAACATATTATCTTTAGTTCTTTGAAGTCAATTCTGCACCCCACTGTTTGCTCTACACCCAGACAGTAGCACAGACTGCTGTTCAGTAATGACAGATGGTAAAGTGGTGGGAGAACAGTGGTGAGTTGCTGGTGCATGCTGCGAGGCTTGGGCATGAAGACTCATCCTGAGTGAAGAACCACACAGTTCCACCAGGGGGAAGACTGATTTTTGCATATCTTGCAGAAAATCAACCACCTGTTAGAGGAGGGAAACAGAGCAGGAAGGAGCTACGCTGTAGGAAGCAAAGATGAACTTGAGTTTCACTTCTTAGTGCCTTTACTCAGGGGAGAGGCCATCACTTGAAGATGCTGGGTTTCCTGCTCCTTCTCCTGGGACGAGGTATGAGCCTTGGATTGTGAGGAGTCTGGGGTTAATGTTAATGCTGGGTGGAGAGGTGGAAAGACTTTCTCTTCAGAGAGTCTGAAGCCACCAGACAGAAGATGAAGGGGATATGTTAGATTAAAGGACCATAACAGAGTAATTGTTGACACAATAAAAAGGAGGCAGTGCCCTGGGGTCCTTTGGGAGCTGAGGTGACATTGGAGTGATAAAGCAGAGACGTTCCTGCCTGGCGAGACATCTGACTCCAAGCTTGTCAGTCCTCATGAATATCTCTCTGGAATTAGGTTCTGTGTTCAGTGCTGTCATCTCTCAAAAGCCAAGCAGGGATGTCTGTCAACGTGGAACCTCCGTGACATTCCAGTGTCAAGTCGATAGCCAAGTCACCATGATGTTCTGGTACCGTCAGCGACCTGGACAGAGCATGACACTGATTGCAACTGCAAATCAGGGCTCTGAGGCCACATATGAGAGTGGATTTGTCATTGACAAGTTTCCCATCAGTCGCCCAAACCTAACATTCTCAACTCTGACTGTGAGCAACACGAGCCCTGAAGACAGCAGCATATACCTCTGCAGCGTTGAAGACACAGTGCTGGGCACAGATCAAAGATCTGAGTAAGAACCTCAACTCTCTCCTACCCAGTTCCCCTTACATGAGCCTGAGGGCCCTGCCAAGGTGGGAGAGGAGGAGGAAACCACAGCTCTTGGGCAGACACAGCTGTTTCTGTGCTTGTGGGTGGGCATGGGTATGAATGGATAGACTGGGGATGAGGAGAGCATCTGTAGGACTAGCTGGAGTGTTCTATCCACAGACAGGAAGGGTAGCTCCTGGAAAGCTGAGGGTAAAATTTCTTCTAGAAGGGTGCTCAGAAATACCCAATAAAAACAATCAGATACAGTTTCCTTCAAGTGGCAGGGTCAGTAATACCCTTTAACTGTTTTATCTCAAGGCTTTTTTTAGCTGGTTTTCTATCATAATATATTTTGGCAGAACTTTAGTCACCTTGAAACAAAGCTGGTACATTACATTAATGACATCTGGTTGTTCTCAGTCAATAGGAATTATAAAGCTCTCTAGATGCCTCAATATGACAATATGACACATGTATCCCAGGCCAACATAAAATCTGCGAAGTTCAGGAACCTTCTATAATGGTGAGTTTTGGAGTAGTCCAGAGGTTTGGGGCATGTCAAAATATCTCCTCTAATGTGAGAAGTAAGCTGCTGCACCTTAGATCATCTACCACAGAAAAGAGGTACAATGCTAAGTCTTTGGACTTTGAATTAAACTTTGGATATACTGCATTTGATTGTGCTACTCTATTCCATTTACTATGTAATCTGTAAAGCTGGAGCCATTGCAAGAGAGGGTTCTGTGGCAGAACAAGCCCATGTTGAAAGCTTCCTGCTGCTTGGGCCATAGACTAAGCAGACCCAGTTTTTCTTGAAGATCCTATGATAGATACGGATGCTCTAAGGAGATCCTGACATTCCCCAATAAGAGAATCACAAGGCAGTGTGGAACAGGTTCGCTGTGCCCTGATTGGCACTTCAGACCGTTGCATCTTGGGCTATACTTTTGTTGCTTTCCAGATCCCAGAGAGAAAGAATGCTCACACACACAAATTACATGAAGAGTGTTTATTACATACAGGCAGCAAGGGAAAACAGAGGCCTAAGATTCAGGGAAAGCCAGTTCCACTAGGCTCAGGAAAGCTGCCGATGGTGGATGAAACCTTGTCTATGCCTTCCCTACTTGCTCTGCCACTGAGGGACCTCAGAGAGCAGCCACTCTGGGTGTTATATCCTAAGCAACTTGACATGCTTGGCAAAACATTGAAGGACATCCTACTTCTAGAAGGGACTGGAACAGAGCCCTGGCTGTTCTAGCCAGTTCCTCCTTATCTCAGGATGTTACATTACCAGCACATTGTACAGTTATTCTTGAGAACTACAAGCAAGAAATGGGGAGGTACTGAGTTGGTCCAAGGCCACCTGGAGAACTGCCCTGAAGACAGGTGCAGAGTTTTGGTGTAAAGCTGTACTTTTACCGGCCAATGACCCCCTTTTCTTTTGAAACGTTGCTCCTGGCTCTGTAACAGATGTCTCATAATGGCATTCAGAACAAGGTATTATCTGATCTGCAAAACTGTAACGTTGGCTGTGCCCAGAGCATTCTCTCTGTTATTAAATGGAAAATACATAATCAAGACCATACTTAAATACAGCTGGAAGAAGGTACAATTCAATTTCAAGAGCACATCTCAGAGTGTCATGGTACCCACTCATGCTTTTCTCCTCTTACCTTCAAACCACACCCAAGTTTCATAGATATTTCATATTTCCAGTTGAGAAACATGAGATCATTTTTTTCAGATGGGTCTCCATATTATTCTTGAAGGATCATTACAGTCTAACCAAGTATGGTTCTGAAAGGTAGTGGTGAAGGGAAATCCTCTTGGGGCCAAAACTTAAATCAGTATACCTGATTGTTGTCCACATTTTATTGAAGAAGAGATGGCCAGAAGTATAGCTATATCTTATATTCAATTTTCTTTCATACTATCATCTAGTCTTCTTACCTATTCAGTCATATTTTTCTTCTTTTTGCTTCTCTATGCTACAATCTGGGTAATTTCTTTAAAACTACTGTTTAGTTTACTAATTCACACCTCAGCTCCAGTAAGCCTCTAATTTAACGTTTCAACTGACTTTGTTCATCTAAATTATATTTTTTATTTCTAGAAACTCCATTTGGGTCATTTACAAATATGAGTTGTCATTTTTGAACGCATCTTGGTCCTTGTGTATTTTAAAATTATTTTCTCTTTATAAGTATATTAAGCATCTACTGGGAATTCTTATCTGGCAATGCCAGCATTTGATGCCTTTTTGCATCTTGTTTTCAGTAGTCTGCTGACTCTCACTCAGGGTGGCCTATTTCCTTGTCCACTGTGTAATTTGATGTGAATTTATCTTTCAGAATTCTTTAAATACTGGAGTAAACGTGGGTTTTCTAGGAAATATTCATGCTTGCCTCTGTCAAGAAATTGGAGTGCTACAGACCCAATATCATTTTATTTTATAATTCTCAGTATATATCTTCTTGGTCATAGAATGTCTATCTCAATCCCCAATGGACTGACTGTTCAGTGACCATGAATACTCAGAGGAAATTTTTAAAAATCCTTCACCCAAAGCCAACACCAAGATAAATAATATTCTTTGTTAACTGCTTCTAGGATTAGTTTTCTAGCTCATCCTTTCACTAACTATGTATCTCTTTGTGTACCTCACTTTATAAAGGAGTGATTCCTATCTAGTTTCTGGTCCATGTAAGGTCCCATGGGTCTTCTCCAGTTTCCACGTGTACTAATTCTCCAGGTCACAGGAATACACATGTATACCCATTTTATCTCATGAGTTCAATGCTAGCTTACCTTCCTGCCCCATGCTCCCATTACCATAGGAAGTTGACAAATTTACCTACAGTGAAGTCTTGGATTATGAAGCACCTTCCTATATTACAAAATTGCCTCTTTAAAAGCAGTAAAGCACTGTGGTTAGGAACTTGAACTTTGTCAAGTGACAGACCTAAGTTTAAAACTTGGTTCTTCTGCTATAACACTAGGTGTAACCTTAACAAGCTACACAATTTCTCCATGCCTTAATTTCTCCATAGAAAATAAGAATAATAGCCAGTTTTTAAATGTAAGTTTTTAATAAGAAAGTGATGCAATTATCTGTAAAAAAGCACACAGAGACAAAATATGCAATTGGTGCAGTTGCTACCTAAATGTATTTCTCACTATAAAAACATATTTTACCACTAGCAATTCCTTCCTCAAGAATAAGTAGGACCCTCTCTCAGAAAATTTTATTTTTACAATTGTTTCTCTTTTAGCTATTTTAACTAAATAGAAACATTTGTGGTATTATAAAATATGCATATTATCAAAATAAAAAAGTCAAAATCACTCAGTTTAATAAAATTAGATCATAAAATATGTAGTTTTAGAATTTATTCCCTTAACCCACAATATTTCATGAATATCATTTCGTGTCAAAAATATTTTACATTAACTTTAATAAGAATAGTTCAATATACTGATGACCATCCTTCATACAATCAAAACCCATGACAAAGTATATATCCATAGGCTAGATGACATGGTTATTTAATTTTAAAAAGCAATCGGTTGTGTGTGTTGAATTATTTCTGTTACAGACTCAGAAGGAAATCATGAAAGCCCTCCTAACTCTACTTGCAGATGGCTGGTTCCTTTTTATTCAGGTATTAACTTAAATGCCACCTCCCCAAAGAGACCCTTCCTGACCACTCTACATAACAGCACTTCAGCAGTCATCCCATATTATATTATCACTTTACCCTATTTTAGTAATATGTACTAATCATGTACTGAAAGCAACGTATGTGCATCCCATTTCTATACCTCTTCACATGTGCATAAATGCATGCACATGTACACATGAATGCAATGAAAACAAGAACCTTTTCTGTCTTCTTCATTGCTGCTTCCAAATAGCATAGAAGAACTCTTGGAATATCACTTCAGGAATTCAATAAATATTTATGAGTAAATAAATATGATTTCAAACATAAGAGGAAAATTTATACAGCTGTAGTGGATTTCCCTGGAGGAAAACTCTACAAAGGCATTTGAGTTTACATAATCTAAGCCCATAAGAAAATTAACTAGATTACTCTAACAGGAAAGGAATAAGCACTTCAAACTTTATATTTTTTATTCTTGTTTTAAATTTATGTTTTAGTTGGGAGGAGGATACGAAAAGATTAAAGGACACAACATTACAGCTAGATAGGAGGAATAAGTTCCAGTGTTTTACAGAACTGCAGGAGGACTACAGATAACAAGCTTTGTATTTGAATAGAAAGGTACACATGTCGTGTGCCAACCCCCTTCTGCTGCCTTACCCAAGACTGGGAAATGAAACAGAAGATACGGGTTCTACAGAGGGGCAAAGTGCAGAACTTGCTCAAACACAGTGGCCCAGGGTGGAAGGTTCTCAATTGGAATTGTGTTGGTGCCTGTGTGGATGAAGCACTCAGTTCTGAGCCTTGGGAGCCTTTTGAAGGCCCTCCTGGCCAAGACGATCTTGAGGAAATGGCTGACCCATTGGCTGCCTTCCAAATGGATGACACAGTCTAGAATTTTATAAGCTAAACGAGCAAAAGGAACCCAGTTGACTGGATTTATCACCAAACCTATCTTGTGAGCCTCAATCTAGAGCTAGTATAATTTAGAAAAATACATACATACATCATATATTAAACTCTGAGTATCATGAAACAGATCCTAGATGTTATAATAATAAGAACCTACATGGGTGTTTCTCCCACACTCTGTACTGGCTTTCTTCTGCTTCCTGTCTAAGGCAGCCTGGACTCACTTAAGCAGCTCTAATAGGCCAAACAAGAGTGGTCAAGGAGTGGCTGAAATGTGAACAGAAAGACTCACCATTATATTACAGCAATCAATCTATCCTTAAAATAATTTAGGTTTAGTCTCAAGTGCTAGAGGCTTCCCCATTTAC